TATCTGACCGTGTGACTATCAAAGGGAGAGTTGGAGAGTTGAGAGAGTACGGTGAGAGAGTTGTCCTATTTTCCTTGTAGTTCTCTCTTATTCTTACTCAGACGCGCACGGAACGATCAGTAATACCAGTTTTCTCGAAATATTTCTGAATAGCCCAGACTTTCGAGTTGAAGTAGCAAATCCTGCAAAATTGTTTTCTCATTTCACTCGCCGCTCAACACCAAGAAAGTCATGCCTTTCATTTGTCTTGTTTTTTTCCGACGTGTGTCCTGTGATGTTTGCAACACACTGATGTTTCAAAATGTTCTGTGTAATTAATTCTACGGAAGCTCGAAACACTCCGCTTAGACAACAAAATATGCGAACATCAAGCAATTGTCGCGTGAATTCAATACAATGTCACGATTGGCTTTTATTTTTCCCCTATCATCGTGACTAACACAACAGCTGTTCTCGAGGCCCTTTGGCTTCGGCAATGGAGGTATCATAGGATCTATGTGACGCACTGATTCAAATTTCAACCAATCAACTTCTCGGTAATAAACCCTCCCCGGTGGGCCAATCACAAACGTTTTTCTATTCTCACTGTAGAGATGCGCACGGGCGGTGTCGTGACGACGGTGATAGTGAGCGCAGGAAAAATGCGTAGCAGTATTCGGTAATGCTGTTAGGGGGCGGCATATTGACATCATTATGTCTTGGTGCTGCAGTGGCACTACCCTGTGCTATGATAAGACTAACTAGCCCTGAGATTTCACTAAGGTGTGTTTCTGAAATATGCCCCAAAGGAGGAACGCTTCCTTTAATGGAAGCCATGGCAACCCGCTTGGAAACCAGTCCTACCTTGTACGCCTTCCCACAAACTCGTTCGCGCACCGGTGTTTCATTTGACCCACCCCTCCATATGACCAGCAGTGGGTAAGGTCTAACCGTCGTCCCTCAGTCCAGTCCTGCAGACTCGGCGAGGTGTATCCTGCGGTGCCCGCCCGCCGCGCGCCCGGTCACGAGACCCAGTGTAAAGCAGGCCGGCCGGCGGGGCTCGGCCGGCCCGCTGACGCATGGCATGACAAGTCGTTCCAGTCGCCGCCGCTAGGTGGTGCGCCGCGCCGACCATCGCTTGAGCAGCGGTCTCGGGGCGAGGATGACTGGGCACAAGTTGAAACATCCAGAGTTCATGGCGTTCAGAGGTACAGCCAGAGTCTTGGCAAGGGAAAGGGGGACACGGTTGACAAAAGACCCCCCTAAAGCGGAAGTGCCCCTGCCAAGAAACTTGCTGGGTATGGACCATTTGTTTAAAAGCTATAATATTGTGCAATGTATAAAAGCCATAATGTTCTTTGCATTTTGTTCATTTTGGTCTTTTTGAACTGAAACTATTGTTACGCTAACTAGTCCCGGGGTTTCACTTCAGAATGCTTTTGCAACATGTCACAAGGTCGGAGCATTCCCCTTAATGGAAGCCCTGGTAACTCGAAGGGAGACCAGCCCTACCTTGTGCGCCTGCCCTCAAAGCCGTTTGAGCAGTGGCGTGTCATGTGACCCATCCCCCCACATGAACAGCAGCGGGTAAGGCCTGGCGGTCGTCCCTCAGCCCAGACCCCCGGATCCGGCGAGGTGGCCCGCGCCGTGGCCCGTCCGCCGCTCGCCGAGTCCACCATGTTAGCGAGCAAGCGGCCATCGCTGCCGGCGCGGCGGCGGCGTCTCCGCGATGGTGTCCCCTCTGCCGATTGGTCCCCACCATCTGGAGCCCATATGTGGGTCACGTGGGTTTATGGGGACACGCAGGCGGGGACGCACGGTCCCTGCCGAGAAGTCCACGTTCAGGCTCCGACGGCGCGGCTCGATGCGAGCCTCGTCAGCGTTTACGACGACGGCGACGACGACCTTGGAGTGTGCGACGCCGCCCTTCCATCCCCTCTCTTACATTTGCTTTACAACTATTTGGCTAATAGAGACTCTTCCTTTTCAACGTCTGTTTTCGAATCAAGTCGATGGTCCTCCGGAACACTAACGAACTCTTTCGCACGAACATTCTGGCCCTCCGAGCCGGATGTAAGTGAACTGGTGCACGGATTACAGTGTTCAGTGACGAGAAACGCAGTGTTATCAGTGATGTTTGACAACGGTTCAGGACGAGACGGTGATGCAAGATCAAAGCGAAGCAGGACGTCCTACTGCACCCGGAGTGAGGCAGGTGCCAGCACAGCCTCCTCTCGCCTCAGTGAAGCTCGCCGCCGACCTGCGCTGAGCAAGCCCCAGGCGGAACAGGGGCAGCGCGCGATGGCAGTTAAGGCGGAGCTGGCGCGGCAACAAGCGGAGGCGGAGGCGGAGCTGGCGCGGCAACAGGCGGAGGCAAAGGCAGCTCTCGAAGTTCAGGAACTGAAGGATGAAGCGGAGCGCCGCCAGCTGGAGCTGGAGCTGCTGGGGCAGGAGGAGCGTGGATCTCTGCACGCCGGCGACGCTGCGTCATTCGTCAGAGGCCCATTGGCAGCTACAACTAAGCCGCCTGTGCAGCTGCGTGAGCAACCGCAGTCGGACGTCTTAGCCGCACGCATCAGGGATTGGCTCCTCCAGCTACGACCGACCGTGCGACCAGCCAGTGCAGAGCCTGCCAATGTCTCGCCTGCACCGACACCTCTGCTGTAACGCCCGACCGGTGCTGAGAGACAGGCGAATCCCCATCTGCCGCAGCTAACGCTGGGCAAGTTCAGCGGCTCCGCTCTGGAATGGTCGAGATGGGTCGCCCTGTTCAAGGCGCAGGTGCACGACTGCGCCGACCTCACAGACGTTGAGGGGCGGACGTATCTGCAAGCACACCTGACCGGGCCGGCAAGAGAGGCGGTATGTGGAATGCCCTGTGACGCCAGCCTCTACGGCGCAGCAATGCGTGAGCTAGAATAGGAATTTGGCGACCCAGCGCGTGTGATGCACGCAACTATGAAAAAGCTCCTCTCGGCACGACCGGTCAGAGATGGTGAACTATCTGCCCTGACCGAGCTGTCACGAGACCTGCGCACTGCAGTGAGCGTCCTGCAGTGTCTGCAGTACGAAGCAGACCTCGCCGCTGCCACAAACGTCACAGCTGTGGCCGGCAAACTTCCTGCCGGTCTGGCATGGAGATGGGAAGAGTATTATTGGGAAGAGTATTATTGGGAAGAGTATTGAGAGTATTATAGTAGTAGGAGAACGGCATCACTCGCCCCACTCTAATCGACCTCGACAGGGCTACGTCGGCATGTCGTTGCTGGTCGTGTGGCCTCGACACAGGCGGGCCACAAGCCGTCACCTAGTCAAAGGCAACATCTCAGAAGGCCGACCGAGGCGAGTGTTCGCCACAGCGTCAGCTGTAACGGCCGTAAAATCGCGGAAGACTGCGACCATTAACCCGCCGGCGGCCGCGGGACGTGACGCGTGTGCCATGTGCCAAGGTGCACACAACATACAGTGCTGTGACGCATTCCTGGCGTTGACGGTGAGCGAGAGGGCAGAGTTTGTCGGCAGAAGCGGACTCTGCTTTAACTGCCTGTCTTGCGGTCACATCAGCGCCAGCTGCCCGCGAGACAAGAGATGCGAAGCCGAGCGCTGTGGAAGACGGCATCACACGCTGCTCCACAATGGCATGTGAGTGTTCCCACGGCGCAGTAAGATTGACACCTCGCCGCCGGCTACAGACGCTAAACACGTCGGCACAGCGGCGACTGAGCCACGCAGCCAGGTTCTACTACAAGTAGTGTCCATCACCGCGCACGGTCCCTCGGGGAGTCACATGCTCTCCTGGATCTCGGGAGCCTGGTCACGTTGGTGACCGACGACCTCCGTGACCGGCTCGGTATCTCGGGGCCCTCGGACGGGCTGGTCCTGAGTACCTTAAACGGAAGTGAGCGGATCCAATCACGGCGCGTGTGTTTCTCAGCCCAGCCTGTGGGCAGCGGCGACAAAAGACACGTTATCCGGGACGCTCAAACGACGCCGACTCTGAACGCATCGAATCATTCAATGGACTGGTCAGTCGAGAAAAACAGCTGGCATCATCTCACCGAGCTCGACATGACGATTACGACCCGCGGCCCGGTGGAAGTGCTGCTGGGCACAGGCATGCTCGAACTGATAGTGCCGCGGGAGGTAGTAGACGGACCGCCAGGGACGCCGAGCGCGGTGAGGACTGCTCGGCTGGACTGTGACCGGCTGCACGCCGCGGCGGTCGATGCACGCACCAGGTGATAAACGTGTGCACCACGTCCGAGTCGAGTCAGTGACAACAGGAGCGCTCTTCTGGACCTTCAAAACCAGGTTAAGCATTTCTGGACGACAGAGGCCTTCGGCACAAGGTACGAGAAGGCGCAGCTGCACTCAGAAGCGGACCAAAGAGCGATGTCCATCCTGGACAGCACCACCAAACGGGCCGGCGATCGGTACGAAACCGGTCTCCTGTAGCGTGAAGACGGTGTGCAACTTCCAGACAACCGTGAGGCAGCCGCAACCCGTCTGAGAGCGGTTGAGAGACGCCTGGCCCGTGAACCCGAACTCCGTCAGTCGTACCGTGACACTGTGAACAGCTGTGTCACTCAAGGTCACGCGAGCAATGTGAACGAAGCTGAGCCCGGTGCACAAGGTCGAACGTGGTACCTGCCCCACCACGCCGTGCAGAACCCTAACAAACCTGGCAAGGTGCGGGTAGTGTCCGACGCCGCGGCAAGGTGTGGTGGCACGTCACTTAATGATAACCTCATTAGTGGACCCAACAACATGAACTCACTCACTGGCGTGCTCGTGAGGCTCCGCCAGGGCCGCGTGCTGATAGCGTCTGAACAGATGTGGAACAGATGTTTCACCAGATAGCCATCTGCGCTGAAGACCGACAGTCGCATTGGTTCCTCTGGCGAGACATGGACACCACAAAGGACCCGGAAACGTGTCAAATGAACGTTGTGATATTCGGTGCCAAGTCGTCACCATGCACGGCAACATACGTGCTCCGGCGCTGTGCGAATGACGGAAAAATGCAGCACCCTCAGGCGGCGGACAGGACAGTCACCCGGTTCTACGTGGATGACTACTTGGACTCGGTCGACACCGAGAGCGAAGGACGAGAGTTGGTTAACTCTCTCAACTCTCTCCTGACCGCTGGTAGATTCCATCTGACCAAGTGGACCAGCACGTCAGAGAGGGTGCTGCAAGATATCTCACCTGAGGATAGGTGCGATGAGACACGCGATCTGGACCTGGACGACGAGGCACAGTGGAAAAAGACGCTGGGAGTTCACTGGTGTGTTCAAGATGACCAGTTCAGGTTCAAGGTCAGGATCGTCAAGGGCGAGAACACGAAGCGCTCCATTCTGAGCAGCGCCTCGGCGGTGTTTAGCCCGCTCGGCATCCTGGCTTCGTTCACCATCCGAGCCAAGCGCATCATTCAGAAGATCTGGCCGGGAGGATGGGACTGGGACGAGGTCATCACCGACGCATAACTTCTCGCCCAGTGGCAGCACTGGCGGCAGGAACTGTGTGACATGGACTGTGTTCGAGTGAGCCGCTGTTATCGCCCCGATAACAGGGTGGTGGTAAAGTGTTCGCGTTCACGTGTTCGGCGACGTATCGGAAAATGCGTTCGGTGTAGTGGCGTATCTACGATTCGAGTTCGAAGACGGCGCCGTGCACTGCAGCTTCGTGACATCAAAGGTGCGAGTCGCGCCCATCAAACAGCTCAGCATACCCCGGCTTGAGCTGCAGGCTGCGACCATGGCCGTCCGCGTCGCCGACACAATCAAGGCGGAACACGACACATCAATCCACGAGACCCTCTTCCGGTCTGGCCCACCTACTGTGCTACAGTGGATCAACAGCGAGAGCCGGCGGTGTGACACGTTCGTCGCCAGCCGCATCTCCGAGACCCAGGACTCGTCTGAGATGCCCCAGTGGCGTCATGTACCAGGCTTACCTGAACCCAGCCGACATCCGCGGCCGCGGCTGTGCCGTCACGAGCGTGGCGCCCGGCAGCGTGTGGGTTCAAGGACCCGGCTTCCTGTGGCGCTGCCCTGATGACTGGCCAGCCGCGCCTGCCTGCCTCACAGCCCGCCCGGAGACGAGGAGGTGGCCGAAATGAGGGTGACAGCGTGCGTCACTGTTCCGGCGGCGCCGGCCATAAACGCCAGCCGGTACTCATCGTGGCTGAGGCTGCTGCGCGTGGCAGCATGGGTGCACCGTTTCGCCCACAACAGCCGTGTCAAGACGGATCGACGATCGGGGCCACTGGCCGTTCACGAGCTGCGTGGCGCTGAACACGTCTGGCTCCGCAACGCCCAGGCAGAGCAGTTCGGCCCCGAAATCGCCGCTCTGAAACAAGGAAAACGACTACCAACCGGCAGCCATCTCCACCAGCTAGCGCCCTTCATGGACTCGAGCGGGCTGCTCAGAGTTGGAGAGCGACTGCGTCATTCCCAGCTGGACTACGAAGCCAAGCATCAGGTGATACTACCTGCGAAGGAAGACGCCACACGGCTGATCGTCACCGACCATCACAAGAAGCTAGCACACGCGGGCGCTGAACACGTCCTGACTCACCTCCGGCAGCAGTTCTGGGTCATCTGTGGCCGGGCGGCCGTAAAGCGACGCACCCGCACCTGTGTGGTGTGCCGTAAACGGTCAGCTCGGCCAGTGCCACCACTGATGGGCGACCTGCCAGCCTTCCGCGTGGGTGACCCGGCCCCAGCGTTCGCTGGAGTGGGCGTGGACTTCTTCGGAACCTTGGCGGTGAAGAGACAGCGTGAAAGGGAGAAGAGATGCGGCTGTCTGCTCACCTGCCTGTCCACTCGAGCAGTCCACATCGAGCTGGCTCAATCGCTGGACACCGACTCATTCATCATGGCGATAAGACGCACGATGGCGAGACGCGACAAGACCAAGCTAGTTTGTTCGGACAACGGGACAAACCTCCGAGCCGGTGAGCGCGAGCTGCGCCAGTCGCTGCAGCAGTGGAACCAGGCCAAGATCGCTGACACGCTGTCACAAGAAGGCGTGGAGTGGAAGTTCAACCCTCCGGCTGCGCCCCAATTCGGCAGCGTGTTCGAGCGTCTGGTGCGCTCAGCCAAACGTGCCCTGTCGACCATGCTGGGTGACAGGGTTGTGGATGACGAGACGCTTCGGACGGTGGTCACCGAAGTCGAGGCGCTCCTCAACGGCCGATCGCTGACACACGTCAGCACCGATCCCGACGACTATCAGCCACTAACGCCGAACCACTTCCTCATCGGAAGGGCTTCTGCTCAGCTGCCTCCTGGCGTGTTCGAGGATGGTGACCTGCGCCGCGGACGGCGCTGGAAGCACACACAGGTGCTGCTAGATCACTTCTGGCGGCGCTGGCGACGGAAGTATCTTCCCACGCTGACCACGAGAGCGAAGTGGTGCAGAGACACGGCCGACATCGAGGTCGGCGAACTCGTGCTGTTGGCGGACGTGCCCCGTGGACACTGGCCAGTGGGACGAGTGGCCCGCGTGCTCCCTGACGCAGACGGCCGGGTTCGCATTGTGGACGTGACGACACCCACCGGGCAATACAGGCGGCCTGTCACACGCCTCTGCCGTCTCGAGCATGCCGCAGGCGAGCGCTGATGTGACGGGACGGTGAGTGAGTTTGTGAGTAGTTTGTGGCGGTGCCGTGCGACACTGCCGCACTGTGACCATGTGCGCCGCGATACTGTAGTTAACAGTTTATGATGTCGTTTGAGATACTGTCATTCTTGCCGCGAGCGTTCGCGTAGTAGAGTGTAGACGTAGTTATAGCCTTAGTTTATAGCCTCTCATTAGCTCTAAATGTAGCTAGTGCAAAAACGCTCGCCTGCCGCGGACGAACAGCGTCTGTTAGTTAGTTGTTGATGTTTATAGTGTTATAGGGATAGTGTCATGTTTATTCGACATGTGTAGGGTTTATGATCCATAGTTTGCTCGCTTGCAGTTAGGATTTTCCGCGAATGGCGCGAAAAACCGGGCCGGCTATGTCAGCGAACAAACGTCACTGCCGGCGCGGCGGCGGCGTCTCCGCGATGGTGTGAGCGGTCCCTCTGCCGGTTGGTCCCCACCATCTGGAGCCCATATGTGGCCCACGTAGGTTTATGGGGGCACGCGGGCGGGGACGCACGGTCCTTGCCGAGCAGTCCACGTTCAGGCTCCAACAGCGCGGCTCGACACGAGTCGCGTCAGCGTTTACGACGACGACGACGACGACGACCTCGGAGTGTGCGACGTCGCCCTTCCAGCCCCTCTCTTACACTTGCCTTACAACTATTTGGCTAATAGAGACTCTTCCTTTTCAACGTAGAAACGACCGGTCAAATATTTCTATCAGTCTGGAAATGTTCAAAATTCAATCATAATCGCTTAGTGATAAATATGCGTGACGTTGTTTTAAAACATGTGTGCTCGCAAATCTTAGCGACAAAGCCTCGACGCCAGACATTGCAGTCTTCGTAGGCCATGCAGCCCTGCCCCCGGTTAACATTAGAGGGAGTGTTTCACATTTGTAAGGAGTTTTGAGGCGAAATAGCTATCTTGAAGATCATTCGGTGCAGTTCACACGCAGCCCTACTTCGGACCCAATCTCCTCCAGTTTCTGAGCTACACGCCCACGAATATGTGCAGACTATGTAAGGAAGACTATTTAGACGTCATCAGGCATCCATGACGCCATAATCACGTCATTCAAATCCTGCCATTCCATCGGCCATGCGGCGATCAAGGCCCAAAAAATATGATTGTCAGTTGTCCACGTCTGGCGTTTGTGAGCATGATTTCCAGATGCAACGGCCGTCAATTGGCTCTCAATGTTGTGCAGGGTACGAGGACGCAATCTAACCATAATGTATTGTTGAGCATATCTACTTAACAGAACACTGCGTTGTATCGAGCAGCCTTTCTTACTGAAAGGTATGCTTTTAGTTGTAAAAAGGTTATTTAATCAGCTGGTATGCATTCCTAAATATCTTTGAATATGGAGTATTCTAAGCTGGGCCAATAAGCAGACAAAAAGTGACGCATCGGAAAGAAACATCTTTGAACGCTTTAGGACCCCTACATTTAGGGGATAGTCCGGATGGATATTTTACCTTTTGTGAATTTTAGATTGATGAGTAGAACGATTAGCCTAGCAGCACTGCAGCGTGGTGATGGAATATGTTGTTGAAACTGGAGGGCAAAGGCTGTCCAGAGGACAACTTCAAACTTGTGAAAAATATACCTCCAGCCTAACCTTCAGACGGTATGAATTAATTTTGGAAGACATCCGGAAGCATTGATCACGACTGTCGTTCTCGCGCGCACGGCGCCCGTTCCCTGGTGTTACTTGCTGTGGCCAGCACCGTTTGGTTATACGGAAACTGCAACCCAGGTCATCGCTGTCCTTGCTCCCGAGATGGCAAGCGCGCAGGCTCCAGCCTTTTGTCGTAATTCGTTTCACTACTCGATTCTGCTAAAAATGAACGTTCTCAGGCAAGCAACGAATGGCTTCATTCATTTCTGAAATAATTTCGACTCACTCCTTTCAACATTAATGAGATCCTTACTTTTCCGGCCTAGGAGCCCTTTGAGCAGAACCCTAAGGGGCACACCATTGTTTCCGGTCAAGGGCTAAACGACCATTGCGTCCCAGCACGGGGCGTCCTGCGGGCTGTCATTCTGGTGATGCGGGGCTGGAATCCCCTGGTCGATCCTGAGGCCCTTAGAGAGACATGTCATTTTTCATTGGTTCCCTCATTGACGCGGGAGGCCTTCTGACCCACGCAGTTGACCTCGGATCGACGCAGGGACCCTCATTGACGCGACAAGATACCTGATCGCCAAAGGTAGTCCAATAGTTCGTGCATAGCCTCTAGTTATGATTAGCGAGCTCATGCTGGCATTGGGTTGGGAGACCCACCGTTCGGTGCTAGGGTCCCGCCTGACACAGGGCTCTTCCATTGTCTCAATGTGAACAATGGTCACAAGTTCTCACGTTTCCTTTCATTGACAGAGGGCCCCGACCAACGCAGGAGTCCGTCTGTCATTTGGGGTCCGTCCCCGTTCCTGTTAAGCAAATGTTTCCCTGGCCGGCTCGAGTCCCTTGTTGACACAGGACACCCTGTTAGGCATTATGTGTCCCTGGCCAATACAGGAGTCCCGCGTTGTCGCAGGGGCCCCGACCAATGCAAATCGCGGGCCCAGCCTGGTCGCTGTTTGGTTGATGGGTCCACAGAGCTCAGATCGACAGGGACCCGACTGTTCGTTGCCGGTGATCTCTGGCAGAAAAAGAGAAACGCACTGCCTCAGAGGTCCCCATTCGGTGCAAGAGACCTTCTAACCGACAGCTGAGATCACGGCCCTACGGGCGGGGTCCTTAATGTGACATACATCGAGCCATTCGGGCATGTCACCTTCCAATCGCGCAGTTGGTCTTTGGTCTCGAGGCACCGCTCAGCCCCTCTTCGGCCCTCTCAGACATGACCTCTGATTGACTCGGGGCCATTTTCCGCCACAGGACACTTAATAGGCACTGTGACCCCTGACCGACACAGGTGCCCCTCATCTTGTCAGGGACCTAGAGCATTGCTGGTTCCGGCCACGTTCCTGGTAGGGGAATGGGTCCCAAGGGCTCCGACGGACATGAAGCCGACTGTTTGGCTCCGTGTCGAGGCCTTATAAAATAGGGATAGAGAATCCTATTCAGGGCCGTGCCAACAGCCCCAGACTGCCATTTCAGGTCGCGACACTACGGATGGGGCCGGACTCGAGTTCAATCAAACCCTCGATCTTTGGTCTTGAGGGGCCCTTCGGGTCCCCTCTTCAGACCCTCGCAAACACAGCTCTTGGGGACTCGGGTTACTTGCTTACACAGAACACCCCGGCAGGCACTTTGGGCCACTGAACGACGCTCTCGTGGCTTCAGCAAGCCAAGTAATGCAATTCGCGGCCCGGCCTTGCCCGGGCTCGCGAAATGGACCCCCAGGGCGCAAACCAACACGCATCCGACTGCTCAGTGTTGGTAGTCTCTGGTCAAAACAGAGGTCCGCTCTGTCCTAGGGGTCCCCGATCGATGCAAGAGGCCCTCTCACTGACAGTTGAGGCCACGGCCTTACAGGTGTGTGGGGGGGGGGGGGGGGACGTCTCTAAAGGGAGCGTTCCACGTCTTAAAGTCTTGAAGTATGCGTCAGGCTTACTTATGACTATTAGTGTACTCTAAGAGGAAAAGACTGCTTTAGGCAGGACAATTCCTGTATTGAGTAGATATTCTCCTTCATACGTCATTGGTTTATTACGTCATCGTACCTTGTACAACATTGGTCGAGGGCCAAATAACTGCAGGTATGTCTGGAAATCGTGCTTACGAATGCCAGATATGAACGATTCAAGAACTATATTTTTCTAGGCGTTGATCACCGCATGGCCACGGAATGGCAGGATTGGAGTGAGGCTACAAAACAAAGTGTGAAGAAAAACGGTGATGTAGAATTCCTTTTGGATTTATTTGATTAAACCGAATGGCAACAAATTACGTGTTGGACCTTTCTGTAAGCTTCCGAATAGTTATCAGGATGTTAACACCGATGTATGTGAAGAAATCGGCCGAGGTGCGAGTGGAAAATTTGTGATGCTGGGATATTTCCACATCCCAGGCTGAAGCGCATATCTTGGCCTGTTGCCAAACAGTCACAAAAATATTTTTGCTTGTTTTGAGTAGTTTTTCCAGCATCTCGTGTGCAAACCCAACTACAGGAGGCCAATTTGGGATCTTGCTATGAATGATGAGGAATGGTTGGTAGATGCTTTGACAGTAGGTGAGACACTGGAAAATGGGGGCCATTAGATTGTAAGGTTTTCATTACGTGTAGCCTATTTCCTTTTTATTCCTTAGGGAAATGCGAGAGAGTAGCTCAAGGAAGCCCCATAGCTGACACAGACAGTGCGTAATTTGATGGCAGCGAAGAAGGCAGGGCGTGGACAACCACTATGCACGGACATGAACAACGGCTTACTTATGCACGCAAACCTGTACGTCTCACCACACCTTTGGTAGCGGGCGTGGAAAAGAATTCAGAACGGCTGTCCGAACAACCCAACCACCCGCAGGTTCTTGCACCTATGGTTTGGAACCCGCCGATGTCGCGTCGCTCCTGAACTGGTAAGCACGGACTGAGCGCTGGGCCCCACCCGGGCTGTCGAGGCCACCCCAGCGAGCATGGCGCGCCGCAAACGTGGCGATCGCCTCAGCTGACCGCGGGCCCTCTCCACGGGTCAGCTGCGCGAGACATCCGTCGAATTTGTCTCCTTCAACCAAGAGAGAAGCCGTCTCTCTTCTGCTGTAAGCCAGGTCAGGAAGCGTCTATGCAGGGCTGCACCGTTTGATGTAACGCATATCGTCTTTGCCTGGCCGTTGTCATACAAAATTCGAGACGGGCTTGACGGACCAGGTTTCTGATTCCCAGTCTGCAGTTATAAGCTGAGAGGCCCTCTTTCATTAACGAAGCAAGAGCCTGTGCCGGTTCACAGACCCACTGACGCCACCTAAGTGAGCTGTCCGCTGTTCCTTAGTTGTCGACACTGACAGCCTGTCACCAGTCATCGATGCCGTGGATGACTGCAGAGGCCCGGCCCCGACACTTGGCCGCAACAGTCACGCGCAGCTGGCCATCTGTCAACTTGCTCGATGTCGCCAACCGTGAGCAATATTTCAGAAAATTGAAGCCTGCATCGATCCGTCATGGCTTTGAAAATAACTCGCCGGGACTCCAACACCAGTCATTTTCCTGCGATAGGGCCCGCTGCACTTCACTTGGGTTCAGACCAACGCAACCGCTATGCCAGCGATGAAGACACCAGCACTACCCACATAGTAGCCGACCCGCGTTCCGTGCATTGACGTGGCGCTGCAGATACACAATGGAGAACGCCTTTAATCCCAAATATGCGCAAAAGCAGAATCAGCTGTTTCCACCCCATTGCGACACTTAGCGCGCGGGAATGGCACGCTTGTGGGCGAAACAGCTAAATGGTTAGTGCATCGGACTCTCATGTGGGCAGCCCGGGTGCGAATCCCGGAGGCCCTATGGCCTCGGGCGCTAATAAAGCCGATGCAGTCGCTGGTGCTCTAAAGGGGACGTGACGACATGCGGCGTGTTCTCTTTTCAAAACAACAAACAGGAATGGCGTACTTGAATACCATTCGACTGAACGGTTATTGTCAAGTTCTGTGGCTAAGGACATCATTATCGACCACACTACTCGCATGAGATCGAGACCTGCCTGTTTGTCTGACATACCAGACCGTCAACAGCGTATCGACCGTTGCTGGACGTTGCTATGCCAACACCAATGACTTATTTGTAAACAAACGCACTTACTTCGCCTCTCGGCCGAGTAGAAATGGGCTTGAGTTAGGGTGGCCCAAGGAAGGGGCTTGAGTCGTTACGTCATAGCTGAGCAATGGGCTTACCCCGAGGCACGGAAAAGGCTTCCATTGACCAATGAAGAATGGGGCTCAGGGGCGCGCTCAGCTTCACAACATCGGCGTCCAGGGGCGCGCTCAGCAATCACGGAGAGGGGGTGACACCTCTCTCTGGTGGTCCTGCGAATTTGTCCATGACGGCGTGATTTTTACTTGCATTTACATCCTCGGTTTCAGCCCTTTTCCTGAGTTGTTCGATTCCCAGGCATGTCCTTGCTAACTAGGTGAAATGCCCAAATGTCTGTATTATGTATCACAAAGGGTAATTCGTATTCGCATCATCAGCCACTTCATCTTCATTCTTGCTGAATCCTGCATCCTCGCGGCACCCTGCTTGCCCTGGGCGGGCTGCATGCGCCAGCCATGAGTGGGCAGAAGTGCACCCTGGGCTGACTTCCTCATTGCTAAACATCATCCACGAGTGGGAACTAATGACGTCAGAGGTACGCACCAAAAACCGGTTCTTACTGGTCGGAAGCTTGTCGCTTGTGCATGACGTAGGCACTTGCGACTTTATAGATAGCAATTCAAGTAGGCACTCTGCCAATGGGGAGCGCGGTCGTGGTGCGAGGCTTCGTCCGAGCGCCGAGCACATACCCCTCAGAGCGTCTACAAGGTGTCTACGGCTATGCAAGCTTGCCATCGCTGCATCGCATCGCCCGGAAAATTTCCTGAAAACTTTAGATAAACACCCTCAGAGGCTATCTCAGAGGCCGCAGCCTTGTGGTCAAGTATGGTAACCACGCCCTCCGGCATACCGCTCACGGTAATCCGCGAAAATTAATCACATAGGGTCGTTGTCATCCGGTTTGCTGACGAAACCCTTGCCGCGTCGCCATAACAACATTCGAGCAATTGCATATGCAGACGACACCCAGAGACTGATACAAGCGACTGCGGAAGACATTATGACCCTTCGCCCTCGAGCCCAGAATGAACCGGCTAGTCTAGGGGCACGCCCTAGCCGAACATGCCCCTTGGGTACAATGATGATATGATTTGACTGGTGCTCGATTCAGCCCCATGCACATGAAATAGGCGCTGCTTCAACGCACCTGAAAGCCAAACAAGGTCAAATCAAACTTGTTTTCGAACTAATTATTTAATCCGTCGTTGATTCGGACAATCGGATGTCCAGTTCTGACTCTGACCCGGAATCATGCGAAGTGTATTCAGAATAAAGATTCGAATAGAACAAACGTAATTCCAATACAAATTTGCATGTCCAATGAAAGAACACGTAAAAACACCGCCACCGTTTCAAACACTGGTGACATGTTATCGAAGAGAATGATCCGCATCCGAAAATGCTGAAGCAGGCGTTAGATGTGATGGAGTTAGCTCACTTATCACTATTCCTAACTTTTAAGTGGAAAATCCTTTTTTAGACAACACGATCTCCCTGTTTAGTTAATAAGCTCCTCAATGCATCATCATTTGATTGCGTTATGGTACCTTGCACGACATTGTTTGAGAGCTAATTGCCTGCCGTTGCATCAGGAAATTGTGCTCACGAATACCAGATATAAGCCACTCGACAACTTTATTTCTATTTGCCTTGAGCGCCACATGGCCGATGCAATGACAATCAAAATGACGTAATGATAGGGTTATGTACGCCTGGGTGACCTTGAAATAGTCTGCACGAAAAATCTGCACATATTCGAGGGCGTGTAGCTTAGAAACTAGAGAGGATTAAGTCTTAAGAAGGGCAGGGATGTGATCTGCACCGAACGATCTTCAAGATGGCTATTTCAGTTCAAAACACAGCGCAAATATGGAGCGCTCCCTTGAAGGTTTCGGACTTTTGTAAGTTGTCTGCACCGTAGTGCCGGTTGCAAACTATTCTGAGGCTCTGCCCGCGTGTGTCAAGCAAAATTTGTATGCCTTTGAAAAACCAAGCGCACGAACAAAAAATGGATTATTTGAGTCAGTTTCAGTATGGTCTGTGAAATATTTGGATGCTTCTCTTTTCCTTCTTCTCCTTGCACATCTAAAAACGATGATAATCAACCTTTGTGCTCATATTTTACGTTGATGTCATGCTTGGGCCATTTGTTTCCACCAGACTGCCAAACCTTCCCCTTCAGATCTTGAACAGCACTTATGGCTTGTTAGCAATTCAAGTTCATTCAATGTTGGTTCGATGTTGCCCGATTTAAGCCCCAAAAACTAATTGAAATCTGATTCAGCGTCACTTCAGAGCCTGGAGATTTAAATCAAGGCTGGCTCACCGGGAGCTAAGGTGATCGTTCATATGGTCGCAGAGTAAGAGCGTCACAATGCGGCCATGGAAAATGCTGACTTGGCATGATCACAAAACGTCACGCTGCGACCATGAGAAAATGCTGACTTGGTATGATCAGAGAGTGTCACACTGCGGCCATGGGCCATGCTGTCCGGACATGATCAGAGTGTCACACTGCGGCCATGTGCAATGCTGTCCGGACATGATC